TATTTGTAGGTTTGTGAACTCTCTCTCTGCTCTATCAGTTTTCTGGCAGGTAATTTATACATATATCACTAGATGTTGGTCACAGTGGTCACTGGTTGTAGCCTCAGATTTGGCTCATACCACTTTATTGTGTTAACCTTTTTCCTAAGCATTTATTTTCTTTCACAGATTTTATATTTTTTGTTCATCTAACATTCACCCCAGGTGTTTGGGCTCTTTACAAAAGTGATTCAATAGTTCCGTTATCACATTCTTCTACTGATTTGTCTTTGTTTTCTTTCTCACCTATTTAAACAAAAATATGATCTAGGTACAGCTTAGTGCCTCTTTGCCATAAAGGTGTTCTTGTATTTCATTATGAAAAGCATCAGGAAATAAAGCACCCTTGAACTGAAGGGCCTGTTTGCCCAAGGCAGTGCTGAATGTACACAAATCTCTGCTCTATTTTGCCAAAGCAACTATAAGAATTTTCATGATGCATCAAGTATAGAAAAATAACTTCTATCACCTGTATCTCGACAAATTTCCTCTGTTGTAAGCAATGTTCTGTCTGCATGGCTGTATTTCTTTATGAGGTCTCTGTGGCTGAGAGCAGGTGTTGTACACCCACTCTCTTAGCTCTGCTGTGTGAGCACTCCTCATGTACTCACCATCTCCACCTTCTTGATTCTTCTTCCTGGAATGAGAATAACTGGTTTAAAAACAAGAGTCGGGGGATGGCTAAGCTCTTTTAGCTTCACTCTGTACCCTGCTGAGAGCTGTCCCGTTCTACCACATCCATTCTCAAATTATTTCCATTTTTTGTTTTCTTTTTTTTCTTTTGTTTGTTTATGGTTTGGTTTGTTCTCTGTTTCTCCACTGAGGGGACCTAGGACCTGAAATACCTATTCTGATTTACTTGTTACTGTATAGTTCACTTGTTAGTTTTACTGCAGTCATTGTTGCAGACAACATCTTTTTTTTGCATTTATGTCCATATTAAACATTAATAGATTTACATCTGCAAAACTTTACACTCATTAGTTTTCTTCTGTAGAATTGTCCATTGATCTTATGAATAATGCCTCTGTAGCAACAGCGCTGTGGTTATCATCCTTGTCTAATCTCTGTGCTGTGCTTTCATTTGCAAATTCTTGCAAGGTAAGAAATCCACTGCAGCTCTCATTTTGTTCTTTGAGTACCTATTGTTTCTTTTCAGAACTGTATTTGTTACATTATAGGAAGTTCTGTGTATTTTATTGACAAAATTTATCTCTGAGATCTACACAATTCCTGCTGCAGGCTTCTATTATTCTTGGATATTCTGTTATTTAAGTGTTATGAGGATACTTTTTATTCATTGATCTGGGTTGTGTAATTTTGTTTGCTATGCAAACTCCATTTGTTCTTTCAAGTTTCTTCCAGTAGTTTTATTGAAGCATTTTGGCCAGGGTTCCAGCTAGAAATCAGTTCTCTGTCAACACACATCCTTTTAAAATGGTGAGGTTGCTTTCTCATCCAGAGATAATTCATCCTTTTTGTTGGCTTTTTGTAGCCTTACCACTCACATGCTTCACTTTTGCAGAGGCCAGTACTCCTCAAATTTCTCCTATAGAGTTTTATAATTCATTTTCCCTGCTTTGGTCAACTGGAAATTATAAAACACAGCAGATGTTTCAAAACACCTGTTATCTTTTATGAGGGAGCGGTTTATGGAGCCATGCATCAGGTTAAGAGCAGGTAGATTTCAGCACTGTGTGACAGACATTTTAAGGCAGCAGTTGAGGGTGAAGAAATCCTGAAGCATATAGGGTGAGGGGAACTTGATTTGGGTGTGGAATATGGTACTGTCAGTCTTAGAGATGAGGGGAATTGGCATGCAGAAGGGAGTGGAAAAGGATCAGGACGAGGGGGTAGTTGTCTTTGGAGGGTGGTGTGTTTTTTTCTGCTGTACTTATCCTGCAGTGCAGTTAAACATCACCATTCAGTAAACAAGAACATATTAACCTGAGGGTCAGTACTGAGAGATTGCCATCACTGATCCAGAAGCCCAGGGAATCTATTCCATTCATTTTATAAATCAGAGCTGATCAGGTCCTAGATTTGTTGTGGTTTTTTTGTTTGTTTGTTTTTTTGTTTGTTTGTTTGTTTAGCGTTGTTGGTTTTCATGTTTGGTTGTGTTTTTTTTTTCCCTAAGATCCAGTGCCTGAGACATAAACTGCATTTCATTGTTTTTAAGGTCGTTCTCTACAGTGAATGCATCAGGCTTTCAATGCAGAGTGTCTTTCACAGTGATTCCATTCATGTCTACATGAGTAGGCTTAAGCAGTTACAATCCCCATGATAGAGCTGGAGGCGAATGACTAGGCTGTTAGCTAAACCCGGGACAAAGCTGTGCAAGCTGAACAGGCTGTGGAAAACTGCACATGATGTGGGAAATGGTAGAATGTAAAAAGGTGTGAGAATCTGACAAAAGTTACAGACAGCACCATGGGGAATAGCTGGACCTAACAGGTGTTTAAGGCATAATTATATGAAAAATAACCAACGTCCATAGGTGATCGGACGGGTGCATTAGAGACCCTTAAGGGTGCAGTCTTGCAAGGCCAACAGCACTTCCATAACCTTATAAATAGCACTGTATAAGATAGATTTATGATAATGTCACTCATTTTGCCTTCATGTAGCAGATGCCCGGAAGTCTCAATCCGTCTTGGTCCTTACCAGTACTACGTGGGCTGTTTATTCATTACTGTTTAAGTTTCAATCAGAAGCATGGTTTAGGGGAGAGCCTCCTGATCATTCCCAAGGACTTGGCCGTTACTTACACTGAGCAAAGATCATGGGAAATGAACCGACTCCTGTTCCACCTAACTAAACTGAAGCTGGGCTCCAGGAAGGCTCTCTGACTTCTTGTGGGAGCTCTGTGCAACTAGGCTACAACTAGCAGGAGGCAAAACCCGCTGAAGTGCAAAAGAAGGGGTAGTCCTGTCATCCTAAATTTAAGTGGATGTCAGCTTCGCAGCACTGACTTTGGGGGCTTTCTGGTGTTGAAAAACCTTTAAAAAAAAAATCTTTTAAAAATCTTTTAAAAAAAAATCTTTTTTAAAAAGAGACTTTTTAAAAAGTGTTATGCAGAAAACTTTAAGCAATTACTAGGATATCACTTTACAACTATTAAAACTTAATTATGTTGAAATACTTCATGTCAAATTGTTCCAGAGGTACAATCATATGTTTGGGTTTTTTTTCCAGAAAACTAAAAGCATTGTAACATCTCATGAGGGAGTATTATTTCATGTTCTGGTTCTGTGGACATTTTGGTGAGATTTCAAGTGAAAAGATAAAATGATGAAGATACTTTAAGTGTAAAGATAAAGATATTCTACCTTGTGTCCTGCTGATCTTAATATTTACTGTTTAGTTGAAAACAATTACCTCAATTTTCAACTTTCAAAAATAAAATCATGGGTCACATGTATTGAGTTATGATTTTATCATCATCTGCAAAATGTTGACTTATCATGGAGCAAGATCTAGGGTTCTGGAGCTAAAGGATTAAACCATTGTGTGTTTTGTGAAAAATCAGTAAGTCCTTGGGGCTGGATCTTCTATTGTAAATAGAAAGAACTGTATGTGTATTGTTTGAAGCATAGCATTGTGTAGATACTTTTGGTTTCAAGCAATGGTGTAAATGAGGCAAGGCAAAGACAAGTGAAGTTAATAGATAAATAAATAAGTAAATAAGAATTATTAATCTATTGTTACAATTTTTATGTCTTAGATATAAATAATCCAAAAGTTCATAAAGTATTTTAGTATATACAGAAAGATATAACTTCTTAGCCAATTTTAAGAAAATTAGTTTGCTTTTTCTGTGATTAGAGGGTAGATTTAGATGAGATATTAGGAAGAAATACCACACTGTGAAGGTGGTGAGGCACTGGCAGAGGTTGCCCAGAGAAGTTGTGGCTGCCCTGGAAGTGTTCAAGGCCAGGTTGGACATGGCTTGGAGCAATTGGGTCTAGTGGAAGGTGTCCCTGCCCATGGCAGGGGACTTGGAACTAGATAATTTTTAAGGTCCGTTCCAACCCAAATCATTCTGTGATTCTGTGATTATGTTTTCTCTCTATAAAATGCAAATATATATACATATTTTCTTCAAAATTAATTCTGAAGTTTTTAATTCATTATTTCTTCAGCATCACTTATTGCTATCTTCTGTAGTAATGGCAACATTTTTTCATTATGTTGTCACAGCCAATGCTACTCACATGATCAATATTTTATACGTTTGCTTTTTATGTAGAGGTAACTACTATGGATATGTTTTACGATTTACATTCGCTATCTCAAAGCCTTGTATAAAAAAGTGGATTGATGTTTTAAAACATTAACATAAAGTAGGATTTTTAGGCTTATTTTATAGCTGGAAAACTGGGACTCAGAGATTGCCAAGATATATCAACATGAGGTGAACTGCCATCTTAATCAGTGTACACTAGATTGTATAGGTATCATATATCAGAACTGGAACAAGACAAACCTTATATCTCAAATAGTACTACTAAGGCATACTTTATTTTAGTGTTGCTAAAATGTGCGGCCTTCAGATAGTCATTAAGTAGCTTATATGCTTTAATAAACAATAGCATTTTTAAAGTGCTCCAAAATGCTAAATGGGTCTTTGTTTTTCATTGTGAACAACGAAGATTCAGACAGATTTGTGCAGGTTTTCCGTTACTGGTTTAATATTTCAGCTCTTGCTTCTGGAGTATTTAGCATGTTTTTACTATGCTGATTAAAATCTGTTATAGATGGTAATTATGCTGATTTTATCATTCAAACACTCAAAATTGATTTTTAAATCTCTTAAGTGGCTTGTACTAGACTTTTATTTCTCAAAGGGTTTAGAAGTCTGCTATATTATGTCCTTTTGTCATGTTCTCTGTAAATGCTAAATCAATACAAAATCAGTAGATTCCCGGTTCTAAAAAAAACCCCACACACTTTTTTTGTAGGAGGAAGAACTAAGGAAAAGTGGAGAAGCCAAATACGCGCACTTGAGTGATGAGCTTCACGTATTAATTGAAGTGTTTGCTCCACCTGGAGAGGCGTATTCTCGTATGAGTCATGCCTTGGAAGAAATAAAAAAATTCCTCGTTCCTGTAAGTGACTTACAGCATCCTTCTGTGACTGGTTATGGTTTTGCTGCATTGAACTTGTACCTTCTTTAAGCACCTTTAGCTCAAGGGGAAAACCAAAAAACAACATTCTGTTGAACATTCATCTTTCATTCTTTCATCTCAGGGAGATGCCAAACAGGCCATTAGTTGTCACAGTTGAGCAGTTGGTCCACTGATATATTTTCTGGATAGTTTATTATTTCAATTTGTCTTCTTTTTCGCTTTTTTCTTTCCTTTCTTGGTTTTGGAAGGGAAGAGTGGTTTAGTTGCTTGTTTTTTCTGGTCGCAGACTTAGTCATTAGGATGTGAGTACACTTTTGAGATTTTTGAACATTTAAGTCTGTAAAAAACATTTTTGTATATCTAACGATTTATCTAAATATCTTGCTAATGAAGTTAATTAAAATTTCTTGTGGAGCAAACAGCATGAGTAAAACGTTCTTCAGGTGATTCTGTTCAGACAGGTTGTCCTGACTCAGACCACAGTTTAGCAACCCTTCATCAGCTAGGAGAGAGCAGAAACATATTCTAAAGCTGGGAGCCTTTTCGCTTTGTTTTATACTAAATAAATACTTACCTTTTGTCTTGTTGATTTACCATCAAACTCACTGGAATTTATTTTCTCCACATTTATACAGTATTCCATGGCATTGTCATACTTAGTATTTATCCTAGAATTGAAGCATATGCATACTAAATACTAAGTAAAAGTTATTTTATGTACGACTAGAATTGCATGAGTTACTGTCTGAGGTCTATCCTATTTAGCACTTGAAAAAGGTTCAGAACTTGAATCCCTTCAAAAAATATAATGGAAGCTTGTTTCTATTTGTGGTAAAAAAAGAAATGCAATAATGCTCATATATCTCAATAATAATGAAAGGATTCAGTAAATGCCAAGGTAAGAGAGGTGAGGCATACACACATTTTCATGGCAGAACTTAAATGTTTTTATTTGGTGGCGGTTTCTCAGCTGGGGAAAAAGAGAATAAATTATGAGTACAGTATTTAAGTACTGTTATATTTTAAATGTTCACATTTTTTAGAGCAGCCAAGCATTTTTTTTTAAGAATAAAAGAAAAGTAACTTAAAATTGTTAAAAAACAACTGGATATTTGTTTTAAATAACAAAATTCATTGGCACCAAGTGAGAGCCTGTAATAAACGAGTTATATTTTAAACAAGTTGAATCTACCTTTCTGATTTTCCCTTTTTATCCCCTTATTGTATTCCAGTTTTAGGATACTGGTAATAAAATACTGGTTCAATTCTGGTAAATAGCCATAAGACACAAAAACTTTTTTTTTTCATGATTTATGACTCTGTTTTGCACATACAGTATGAGGAGCAAATTAGGTCAGTGTTGTAATGCTGGCAACATAACATGGAATCCCATTTTGGCTGCAGGTTAATGGTGAAAATCTGCCAAGCTGTAACACTGAAAGAAAATTTATACTTAAGTAATATATTTGTGAGAAGTCTGAAGTGTCATGGCTAAAAATGGTAACAGGGCTAATTACAAAGATTCTCAGTCTCTGTCCTTTTGATAACCCTATTTCCAGTTGTTTGTGACCTTGCCAAACTTTAATTTGCTTGTGTAAGAGGCTCCTGTTTAGAGTTATCTTTGTATGTCCTCTTCATTCTGAAAGACAGGTCCTGCTTTACAGCTGATGCAGTGGTGATATGCCCCCTGGCATAGAACACTATTTTTTAACACCATTATGTACTCTGTCCAGTACTGAGAAAATCTGTTCTGGGTGAATAAGGGAGAGAGAGTAGTGTGTGATGAGAGTGGTGTTAAAATTTGTGTCATGATGCTGTTGTAAGCATTCAGCATCTGTGAAAGCATATATTTTGTGTGACACATAATGTATTGATAAGTATTATATGTATGTTCCAGAACAAGTACAATAGCTGCACTGGAAGAAATATAAAACCAGCTTCTTTGTTGCAAGATTTTGAACTTGGTTGACAGCAGCGATAATCTCTACAAACAAGTAACAGTTTTAGTTTATGACTTGCTTGTTAGTTTTATCCCCTCTGCTTCATTTCAGATTTACAACAATTTACAATTCACTGGCTGGTTGCAACATGTGTCAAGGGATTTGCACTCAAAAAGCTCGCACTAGATAATTTCCTTTTTGTTCCCTATTTATAGCATCTCTTGAATTTGTTCTATGATGTTTTGTTGTTTGTAAGACCTAATTTATTGCAGCAGTGAATACTAGAATTGAATGACAGGCATGAAAGCAGTAGAATCTAACAGTTTTATTTATAACAAATCGAGGATGCAATAAACCATTCAAATAAATTTTGACATTGCTTATGAATTTTATGACGTTTAAGTGACATATTGCCCTTAGAAATAACACTGATTGTATCAGTAAGATGGAAGACTGACTTTATACTTTATCCATAAGTTTTAATGAAACTGAATTTGAAAATAAATGCTTAGAAAACTTAATAATAGAAGAGAAAAATGTAGAATAGGCTGGAGGGGAAATAATTGAGTGTTTATTAACTGAAGGAAAGATTTAATGAACAATTACTTTTTATTTCAATGCATTTGCTTAGTTTTCACCTGCAACATTGCCCAAAAATATTATCAAAATTTTTACCAGTGAAGATTTCACCTCCAAGTCAGACGCAGAAACTAAGCACCGCTATTTACATTGACTGTTCCACATGTTAACATGTTTCAAAGCTGCAGGCAGCTTGGCCTCAGGTGGTGCATTAGTATGCCTCTAAGAGGCATATCTGTGAATAATTGAACCCCCAATTTTATTTTTATGTTACTCTTAATGTGAAAATTTTAATACAATTAAAATATGACAGATCAAAAGACCCATGATTAAGTAAATAGGACTAGTACCTTGGAGTTTTGAAACATAACTGCCTGCTCAATTGTGGGGTTTGGGAACCTAATAAAAATAAAAACCAAAAATGTGCTCTCCAAGGTTGAGGTTTTAGGGTAAAGATTAAACTTGGAATTGATGTTAATGTAATTCAGCAAGTTATCGAGTATTAGCTGTGTGCAAAGTACAAACAGTAGGCATGCTTAGGAGGAGGATGCGTGTTTTGCAGATTCATCTCTGTGGTCAACACAGATTCAGTAAAATTCATAGGTATCTGACTGCCAAGTGGTTCTGACTACAAACTGACTGGGACAGGTGAGGAACCTAACGCTGTTGTTATGTCTCAGTGTCTCAGAATGGGATACAGGGTCAGCCAACTAGAAGGAGAGATGTTTAAAAGGCCAATATGGAGGAGAAAGAGCTCAGAGGTTTACAAGCTCTGCTGATTTTAAAAGTTTCCTAGCAATTAAATGCTGCAAAGCTTTCTTCACCGTTAATGAGCAATGAAATGCTACATCATTCATACAAGAATTGATTACATCAGTCTGATTTACGTCTAAACATACGAACATATTTTCTGAATAAGCTATGATTTCCACACAGTAAGGGGCTTTACCATCTTTGGTGTTCTATGCTTCTTAATACATGCAAAATGTTTTGCTGATAACCATTTTATCCCTTTAAGTGAAGCATTTTTATTTTACATGTGTAGCATCCCTTGGGAAGAGGAGGGAAGCAGATACTGATCATTCATTTTATGTATGAGTGCTCTGTAACAGGCAGCTATTATGTAGAGGGCAGGTTGCAGCTGCGGTGACACAACCACTTTAAAAAGATTGCTTACAACCGTGCGGTCAGAAATTGAACCAGTTACCACTTCAAGAGTTGCTTTCAACTTATTTGCATATATTTTTGTAGCCACTTATATCTGCTTTAAATTGGGGCATATTAACACCACTCAAAGGCTGGGAATAAACTCACAGTCATTTAATGCAGTCCAATTGATGGACAATTGCTCATGATCATCTGCCTGCATACCTCAGTATTTTCTGAGGGTGTTTATCAGACTGCTTTATTAGGAACTAGTGGGATGAGGCAGCAGGTGAATGCAGGTTTTTACATTGCTGTTGTTGTGAATGCAGGTTGCAAAGTCTTCCAGGCTTTCTTCTAGATGCCTGAATCTCTTACTGAGTCATTAACTTTAATCATTTTATCTCACCTTGGTCCGTACCATTGATTAAAATAATTTTCTTACCAATCATTTAAGTGTTCTCACTGATCTAGCTTCCAGCATCATTTCTTCACTCTTCCTAACTAAAGGTGGATGATTACTGAGGACAAGGAGCCTTTCAGTGAAATAAAAATTTACTAATTTTATACAGGAAATGCTTCATACCAGAAATGTGTATGAGAAAGATTAGATTTGATGGGACTTGAAAACAAGCCTTGATGCCAGTTTGTTTCAGCTGGAACAGTTAAACAATCTTTGAGTTTAATGCCTTGAAGGTCCTTCCCTAACTAGTGTTTCAAAAAAATTTATTTTACTTCAAACATGCATTTACTGTATATATAGTAATTTATATTTAGTTCAAAACACAGTTACTAACGATCTGTTATGCCATGTTGCACTGACTATATTGTAGTATATACAGTATACAGTAGTACTTTTTGTCAAAACAGTTTTGACTGGTTTATAACAACCATATCTAGATACATGGTATTTATTTTGAACATTTTTTGTTAGCAGTCTGAATTTCTTCTGTGCTATGAAATGAAATCTCTATTTACATACCATTTCACACTCTCTGGTTTTGTAATCTTTTGTTTATAAATAGCTATATTATTGGCAGGGGCTTCAGACTTATTTGTCCTCTTTCAAAGAACCTTGGTAGGCAAAATCATAGAATCATAGAATAGTTGGGGTTGGATCATAGAACAGCTTGTGTTGGAAGGGACCTTAAAGATCATCTAATTCCACCCCAGCTGCTACAGGCAGGAACACTTTCCACTAGACCTTCCACAAAGTCCTATCCAACCTGGCCTTGAACACTTCCAAGGACGGGGCAGCCACAGCTTCTCTGGGCAACCTGTGCCAGTGGCTGGCTCACCACCCTCATAGTAAAGAGC